CCATGTCTTGTCATGGCTTAACAGCTGATTTTTTTTTTTTTAGCACCAAATAATGTTTCATTGCCTGGATCTACCACAGTTGATTTATCCATTCACCTACAGAAGAACATCTTGGTGGCTTCCAGTGTTGGGCAATTTTGAGTAAAACTGCTACACACATCCATGGGCAGGTTTTTGTACAGATATAAGTTTTCAACTTTGGATAAATGCTAAGGAGTATGATCATATGATAAGAGTATGATTGATTTGTGTAAGAAGTTGCCAAACTGTTTTCGAATGGCTGTACCAGTTTGCATTCCCACAGCAATTTAGAAGCATTCTTGTTGCTCCACATCCTCACCAGGCTTTGGTTTCGGTGGTGGGATCCTGTGTGTTTTGAATCTCTTCCTTAGCTGAGTTATTTGTTTTGCTAGAGAACACCCTCAGATATGTTTTAAAGGGCATATAAAAGGTAAACTCTAGATCCTTTTTATGACTAAAGATGTCTTCATTGTACTCTTGCATTTAATCAATACATTGACTAAGTATAGAATTCTAGGGTAAAATTAACTTTTCCTCTGGGATTTCAAGGTGTTTCTCTATTTTATTTCAGCACTAATGTTTTTGAGAAGCCTGATAACAGGCTGATTTTTGTTTTTCTGTAAGTGGTCTGTTTTTCTTCTTAGAGGGCATTTAGAATCTTCTTTTTATCCTTGTGCTTTGAAATTTCACAATAATGTGTGATTTGAGATGGACAGGACAGAGATCGGAGTTTGATTGGCAGAAAAAAAGGGGAAAGGTTCTCCAGGGCAATAACTGGCGCAAAGATACAGAGGTGGGAATTAGCAAGCAGTGCTCGGGAGGTTTGATTCGGCTCTTAAACCCAGTTCTTGCACTTACCAACTTGAGTTGTATAATGCAGGTTATAGACCCTCTCTAAATTTTTGTCCTATATTATAAATTAAGGATATTGAGACCTACCTCCCAATATTGTTGAGAGGATAAAATTAGGTAATATAAAAATAGAATTATGAAAAAAAAAATGTATCCTTTAGGGAGCAGGTATGAGAACTCCTTGAAGGGAGGATAAATCCACCTCTGTTTTAATCAGAGTGCTTTAATAAGCCCTTAGGTGGGTAGAGGTGGATGTTGAGCAAGGTGTTCAGATAACCTGATGAGGAGAAACACTATCCTCTTTAATAAAGGGTGGTGAGAATATTCAATGCTGGGAAACAGGGAACTAGGAAATTAAATACCAATGAGTTGGGCCACATCTGCCTGGAGAATGAGTCAGGAAAGACCCTCCTCTCTTCTCTTCATTTTAGTTGGGCTTCAGAAGGTCGTTGGAGATAACATAAATGTCTGATGGGAATAGACACTGTTCACTGTCTGCTGTGAGACATAAACCTTGTCTTCTACCCCGTTTATGAAATTATACTTCCATTCTACACTCTTCAGTAATAATAATTTTATGGGAATAGGATTTTGTTGAGGGCAACTCAAAGAGATGGATGAAACAGGTAGCATCTGAATAGTGTGTAAAACACGTAGAATAATGATCATCGTAGAGTAGGAGCCAAATCTTGTTACAATGCAGGCATCTGAGTCATTACGCAGGGCTCTTAACAAGGTTTTCCCAACACCGACAACCTGAACCTGAAGTTCCACTTGCTCTATAGCTTTCTGAAGCCCACACCTGGACTCTGTGATTGCCACAGCATTGCTTCATCAGTACTGGAAATATTCTCTTCCTTGATGGAGTAGCTTTTGCTTCTCCAATAAAAAAAAAAAAACATGTAATTTTACAATGAAATAATGTACGCAAGAGCCTGGACACCTAACAGATGTTTCATGAATGGTTGTTTCCCCCATGCTGTCTCCCGTAAAATGAAAACACAGGCAATTGTTTCTCATTTCCATAAACAACAGACCAAAAAAGATGTAGATTTATTTTATTTTTTTTACAGAAATAATGTTAGGTTAAAGAAAGAATTGTGTACTTTGACCAAGGACTGATAAAACAACTAAGAGGACAGATTATAGATAATTTTAAAAATAGAACTGGCTGTTGTCCTGCTTAGAAACTGAAAACTAGAACTCAGTAACATGGATTAAGTGTCCCATTGTGTCAAGAGCACAGCATGAGATACTGTGCTATTTTCGAAGGCATACCAACATGTGATTTCTTTCAAAAAAAAAAAAAAGAATTACCAACATAAAGATAGCCATGACCAAAATTCAATTACCTAAAAAACACAAAGAGCAAACAAAATCTCATACACAGTAATTTGTGGCATTTTGACTATGCTTTGCCATAAATTGATGCTAACCTTATATATTGGGTTGTGGGAAAAGTCATGACGTATTTTTTCTGTGTTTTTCGTTGCAAAAATACATCATGACTTTTCTGACAACCCAATAAATGACTACAATGATATATTTCTTCCAAAGTCTTAACGTCAATAATTTGGCATTAATGATCTTATTTTCCAACATGTCCAAATACTCTTGTACCCTGTAAAGGATTTAATCCAGCAACTGTAAATCAGAAATGTATACCTTCTTACTTCAGCTGCTAATGTTCTGTTTGAATCTAAGGTTATCATATAAGTGATATGTTGTAACTACTTCCCCAGGTACTCACTTAAAAAATATATTTTTGTGTGAAGAGATTTATTTTCATGTTCAACATTAAACAGCAGTGCCTTGGGCCGGCCGAGTGGCACGATGGTTAAGAACTCGCTTGGGATGCCAGAGGGCCCCGGTTCGGATCCCACATATGAGGGCCAGTGACACTGCCCTCCACAGCTAAGATGCTGAACAACAGCTCAACCTGGAGCTGGGCTGCCCTGAGTCACCAGCAACGGCGTAGGCTGCAGTCCCTGTGGCAGTGGGTTGCCATGGGCTACCGTGTGTAGCCAGCAGCCAGCGTGAGCGGCCAGCAGCCGCAGTGAGCGGCCGTCCAGAAGCCAGCGACTGATCTGCCTCGCCAGGGAAGAACGCAATGATGGTGCCAACTTGGGCCAGTGAAGCAGTGTCCTCCACAACTAGATTGAAGAACAAAACGACAGCAACTTGTCTGTTCCCCTTCCCCTAATTCCCCAGTACTGTTCCCATCCCCCCAATTACCCAATAAAAATCTAAAAAAAAAAAAACAAAAAAAAACAGCAATGCCTTTTTGCTTAGCCTCCTATTTCAGCATCAGTATCATATTTCAGCATCAATATCATTATTGTATGTGCCTGTTAAATTTCTCTTTCCTACTTGACTATAATTTCCTGAGGACAGAGATTGTGCATTGTTTTTTGATTTTTGTTTTTATTTTTAAAGTTCCTAGTACAGTGTCTAAAGCTTTGTAGGGGCTCAATCAATTTTGTGAAATGAACAAGTGAATGAATGATGCCTTATTAGATACTGTACAAAGCTAGCATTCAGAGGAGCTTAAAATCAATGGCATGTGGAACAGTGTCATCTAAAACTGAATTATTAAGAGAGAAAACCTGGTAAAGATCTTTCTCTGTGTGTGTGTGTGTGTGTGTGTGTGTGTGTGCGCGCGCGCGCATTCTGGAATCTTAACAATCCGGCTATCAATTCCCAGTTCATAAGATAATAAAAATAAAATAATAAAATAAAATACTATATTCAGAGAGTTAGGGGCTGGTTTAGCCTACTGGCCTTTTACAGGTGCAATTTCTTTTTACAGTAAAGAGAAGAACATGGAGCCTTTCCTGAATAACCTGATTCCAACAGAGTTAAATAAAGTTGTTCGTTTTCCCAGGTTTTGACATACTTCTGTCTTTCTAGACTGTGAAGTAAATCTTTATTTCCCAAAAGCCCCAGTGCCAATTTTAATGATCCCGTCCACGTGATGTACATTTTTTTTTGTTTCATTTCTATTAGTGAATGACAAGTGAAGGATATTCATTTTAACTTGAAAATGTCAGGTATGCACTTTAAGAGATATATTTTAGCAGCTTTTAATGAGATGGTGTTTCTTTTTGAAAGACACACTCATCTCTGATGCGGGGCTGTGCAGGTGACAACTGATATTTAATAAGCGATGGTTCTTGTATTAGTCGCAGTTCTCTAAAGAAAATGTCTCAGATTGCTTTTGAAAAACTCTTAGCGTCACTAGCCCAAAGGCAAGATGTGACCTTTTTATTACATAATGAGAACCATTTATTATCTTACAATGTATCTTAAAGTCACAGACAAAATGCCACTTTGATAATTGCTTTCAATTAGCTTTGAGCATAGCATATATTCACAAAATGTCTTCTCTAATTTAGACTTGAATTAGAGAAAATTGCAGACATAATCTACTTTAAGCTTGTCTCATTTAAGGTGATTCGTGGTTTTATATCAAAGAAATCAAAACGAGTAGCTTTAGAACAGTCTCTCAAAGTGTTTTAAGCAGGCTTTTCAATATTTGATTCTATTCTATTACCAATTAATTAACAAATTAGAAATCTAGTTCATCATTCCTGACCTTTTATGCACGTTAACTTGTGACTTTCAATCCTAATGGTTGTTTTGAAATTAAGCCTTTGCAGTTCATGTTGAAAGAGAGAAACAATCTGATTAGCAAGATAAATAAGGCTTGCCTTAATACCAAGTGCATCTTCATGTTTGGCTATCACTGGTATTCTGAATACTATAACGATGAATCCTTTCCTGCCTTAAATAAATGATACATAACTAATGGTCGATGTATTACACAAGATAATCATGTAACCTAAACAAGGAGTTTGGGAGTATTACTACAAGTGAGGTTAGAGGTAAGATGATGATTAAAATGTGATGTCAGTTAATTTTTATGTTTCGTTTATATTCTGAGCATTTGGGATATTGTTCAAATGCATACCTTTATCGCTCTTAAAAATATTTTTGAAATAATAGACAGTATGCAACTACATTTTATACTTGTGGCGTTTCTTATGGAATATTAATTAACCTAGCAGAGATTCTCAGAAATTGGTATTATACCTGGAGATTACTCTCATTCTCTTTTTTTTTCCTAGATAAAAATTACACACAAGAACCAAGCCCCAATGCTGATGGGCCCTCCTCCAAAAACTGGGTTGTTCTGCTCCCTCGTCAAAAGAACAAGAAACCGAAGCAAGGAATAATCCTGTATCATTTCATTCTTAGAGATCTAATTAGCATAATTGGGCCATGGAACACTTATGCTGGAAATCTTTGAATCATTTCAAGTCTCCTGCTCATGCAAAATTATGGAATTGGTTTAACAGTTTTTGTTACTGAGTTAATGTAAAATTCATCTATTAGCAAATTTATTGTCTCAGTTTTTATAGGCATCTTTGCATGAAGAAAGCAGAAGTTTACATGAAGTGATACTGCATATTTTTGTTGCATGCATTCCCATAGATTTTTATGTCTCCCACCCATTCCTCTCCCAATTTCCATTTCTCACTTGTGAAAAAAAAACCTATGAAACATAAAAAAAGGAAATATCATGGGAAATGTGATTCTCAGTGTGATGCCATTATCGATAAGCACTAATCAGTAATGCTGCAATGATCATAATCGCAGATTGCTATGCTTTTCCCTTAGAATCAGTGTATCAATAGTCTTTGACTTATGACTTGCGGAGAAGCTTTTAATTGAAAGAATTTATTAGATAGTTGTATATGATACCTTACTGTATCTAAATAGTTTTTATTGGACACCTTAGTGCTTCTGAGTGGAATTTAAATATCAGGTATAAAATTTTCTTGTGCTGAAAAATAGAAAGTGGTTTTTGTTTTGTTTAGTTTTGTTTTAATTTCAGAAATAAGTGAAAACATGTTACTTGGCAGTAAAGTGTGGTCATATGACAAGCCTTATTCCTTTCTGCACGTGAATCTAGAAAAATATTCATAACCACACCAGTAACCAAATAGATGTTTTAAACTATGTGCCTAATAAACTGTGTTTCCCACCAAAGATTCAGAAAAAAAGACACCTGAGAGAAATGTTTTAATGCATAGTTAATTGTGGAGAAAATGTATGGCTCTTCTGATTAATTTTGTGATTACTAAAACTCTGGATAGAGTGAATTACCCATTAATTATAATTAAAAGTCTCACTTTTCATAGACAATAGGCCATACACATTTAAAGTTCAATATTACTAACCTAACAGAGGTTGTATATAAAAAGCTGATTTCTTGCTTTTTTGGGTCATTTTTAAAATAAGTATCTGTAATTTTTAATGGACCAGTTAAGTACACTTGAGAAAGTAAATGACTGTATCTGTTCCTTTCCAATATGAATTGATACCTGTAATAATATTGAGCTCATTGAAAGCAAAGCATGCATGTAATTAGTCCCATCACCTACTCCACTCCCATGTCTATGACATTTCAAATATTTATTTGGATATAATTCCCTAGATCATTGTGTAAGGTGCTCATGGCATGGTTGGACTCTGTTTAAAGAAATTACGGAATAGTACTTTTCTTAGTGTTTCACTTAACTTATGACATAAAATGAAATGCTATTTTGAGCAGTTTTGGTATTGTTCGTTCATATTGACCTGCATCTCATCATTGCATGTTTTATGTTTTCAAACATGCCATAAGGAAAACAAGTGCTTGAAATGCATGATTTATTAGTTTCTCTCTCCACGCTGCATTAAAGTACTAATGATTTATCAGTTCTTTTTTTTATTGATTCATTCATCTTTGAATAACAAATAGCATTTAGTGATTCTGTTGAACACAATCCTGTGCATGGATTTATGGGTTTCAAGTGAAATTGCTGTAATTTTTGTTCTTTGGTTTGAAAACTCAACTGAATGCTGTTACATCAAATAGCTACTCTCAAGCAATGTGCTATAATGGAAGATTATGTGTAAAGCTTATTCCTTTAGTGTTCCAGGAATATTGGATGGTAAAAATTAATCAACAATAAGCTTAATTGCTTTGAAAATAAAAGCTTTTGAATAAAACTAAGACGTAATTTAACATTCCCAGGAAAATTATTATTACAACTGCAAATGTACCACAGCATTCACTTGCCTGAGTATAATTTTTAAAAAATGGTATTTGGCAGAACTGTAATCTAGACCAAAAGAAATCTCAAAACAATAACAAATGCATTACTGATAGAAAGTTACATAACACACTTTTATTTTGTGTATCTGTGGTTATAGGTAATATTATCCTCACATAAACTGACAAAATTTTATACAATGGGCAGGCAGGCATTGTGTCAAAAACATATTCTGAATTCCACAAATTATTTTATGTTCGGTACAACATACAGTTAGTTCTTGGCTACCTTTTAGAGTATATAGTCTGAAGGCAGCAACAGTTTGTGAATCATTCTTAACAATCTGTGCAGTGGAAAGCTGTTGAATAGACGGTGGGATGAAACAAATTAAACAACCTGCCTATAAGACTTCAATAATTGAAATAATGGGATGCAGCTTTACTTCAATGTAGCTTTGTAACTATAATTATATAAGTAGTTACGTTTTCAGTCCATTGGAGTTATTGATGCCAATAATAAATGTTCAAATATGGATCAAATTTTAGTTTTCCCATCTCATTTCCTGAAGATACTGATGGACTTGCCCTTCAGGTACACTTCTCCTGGGGTTTGAAAAATCGTCTATAAAAACTGATGGTTTTGAAATCAGAGAAGATATTCTTCCCATTTTTATGACAGCTTCAAATAAAGATTATTTATTTTAAGAAAATTTCTAAACTGAAAGAAAGTTCTATGGCATATTGCAGTATTGAATAAAAATGTTATCATTACAAGACAGAATTTTTTTCTTATATGTATGTGGGTGACTTTGAGTTATTGAGTCAACCTCTTTTAGATGTAGTGGCCTCAAGTTTTAAGTGGATGAAGCTCGTAAGTAAAACTTAACACTGAGTTTACAGGGGTCAGAGGAAAAGGAAAAAGAAGATACACACTGTGCTAAATATTGTTATACACTTAGTTGACGAATGAACACAGAAAGAGATTCCAGAATAAACCTGGATATCCATGCTTCTAATAGGAATGGAGGTATCTATGTAGAACCACAAATTTTAAAGGATATATTTTTCCACTTACATGTATATACCAGGTGTATTTGATTCAAAAAGTGCATGGAAGAAGAAGAGGAAAAAATAACATTTTAAAACAGGTTTTATTTTTAAATAGGTTATGTGATTATAGCCAGAATAAAATAAAAGGCTCCGATGTTTAGTGTAGTCTACTATAGGCAGAAATTTAAATCCAATGAGAATTAATGAATCATGTATATGTTTCTGCATTTTGTTCTTTTTTTTTTTTAGGGGGATGGGAAGCAATTGCAATTTTCAAAGAAGAATCTGTTTGAATCTCAGATTGTATTCTACTTGAATGAGACAAAACTTTTAAATGGCTCCATTCATTTTTCTGTCAAAGTTAATTTACTATTTATTAGTTATGGACTGGAAAATGTATTTTTCATGGGTCATATCACCCCAAATAATTATTCAAATATAGTACATAGATCTTAAATTAAATGATTAAGCCCTTGTAATATATGTTGAGGATGTAAAATTTAATTAAATAAAACAAACAGAAACCTGCAAAAGAGCTTTTATTTTGTGAAAGGAAAAATTACTCCCAATTAAATTGCATTCTATGTTTAAATAAAGTTTGGATAAAATCACATTGGAAGGATTCTATACATCCTTATTGTGTTTAAAACCATGGAGTTCATTTAATTACAGTATCATATTTTCTCAGAAAGTGTTATATACAGTATTCTGTGTGTTTTTTGAAATAAAAATCTTAATAACTCAGATAAGTGTCATTTTTACTGCCATTTTGCCCAGATTTTGTTCATAAATGAACTCTTCAAGCAGTTGACAGTCAATCTACTATGGTGAAATTCACTAGAAGTACCAGGCCAGCAACTCTGGCTTTTGTTGGGGAGGAAGGATTCTGAATATTGGGGACTGAATTCTGTGTTTTTAGGAAGCAGGCCATTCTACTTTGTGGTGCTTTGGCCTCACGCTGCTGTGAACATCATTCCAGCAATTACAGAGATTCCAGGAGCACCAGTAAACCAGATAAAATAGTGGGGATTAAAAAGCTAAAGGCAGTGGTTCTGCAAAAACGTTTGTTGAATTTTCTGGATGAAACCGATTCCTAATTTTATTTTGTGTAACAGACTTCAAGAAATATCTCATGGACACTGACTAGGTGGTACAAGATATTTTACAAAGGGGCTGCAGCAATTACAGAATTGTTTTAAATGGCATATCTCTTCTCTAAATGTTTTTCTCCTGGGACAGCTGAGTGGCGCGTCGGTTAAGAGCTGGCTTGGAATGCCAGAGGGCCCGGTTTGGATCCCACATATGAGGACCAGTGACACTGCCCTCCACAGCTAAGATGCTGAACAACAGCTCAACCTGGAGCTGGGCTGCTGTGAGTTGTCAGGGACAGCGTAGGCTGCAGCCCCTGTGGCTGTGGCAGTGGGTTGCCATGGGCTACCGTGTGTAGCCAGCAGCCAGCGTGAGTGGACGTCCAGAAGCCAGCGACTGATCTGCCTCGCCCAGGAAGAGCGTTATGATGGTGCCAACTTGGGCCAGTGAAGCAACGTCCTCCACAACTAGACTGAAGAACAAAAGGACAGCAACTTGTCTGTTTCCCTTCCCCCAATTCCCCAATAAAAATCTTTTAAAAATAAATAAATAAAATAAAAAATAAATAAATCTCTTCTATTGGAAGAATTAAGTAAATGAATGACCATATTACATGATGGAGTAAGGTTAGAACCAAAGTAAGCAAAATGTGATAAATATTCAAGTGAGGAAAGACAATTTGGTTGGAGAAATTAATAAATACCTCTAGAGAATATAAATCTGCCTTTTCAGGGTAACTGGAATTTTACATGGGGAGAGAAGTAGAAAGAAGGAACTCCTGAATAAGAGAAGGTGAGTGAGGACGTGGGGATGGAAATCAAGTCCTGGATGCTTCATCGCCTTATTGCACCAAAAGGTTAGGGGATTTATAAACTAAGCATTTGGATGGTAGTTCTACTTAAAATTATTAGGAAAAGAAGGAGCAAGAGAAGAGGAAGGAAGAGAGGCAGGGGGAAAAGTAAAGAACGGATGTAATGAGAAAGTAAGAGAGAATAAAGGCATATCTCAAAATTAGGATTAAGTGGCTGTAAGAATTAATTTTGCATTCTGCAAAAGAAAAAAAAAACAAAAACAATACTCAGGTATTCTGACATATAAAGCCTCAAAGCAGTATCTGGCCATCGTACTATTTCAGGGAGTTTTGATTACCAAAATATTTTAATAATATAGGTAACTTTAGACACTCTAATAGAGAATGCTAACTGTAAAATGTGTTGATGCTCAATGTACAAATAATAAAAATTAAATATTAAAATACATACAAAATAACACAAGTTTAGAATTCGTAATAGAACAATTACTAGAATAATAGAAAAATTCCTAATGGAAACATAGAATAGTCTAACATCTTATAAATGGAGTCAGAGTCACTAACAGGTACAAAAGGCTCACTCCCTTAGATCTTCCAACCAAACATTCATTCTTTGAATTCAGTTGATATAAAAAAAAAACCACTGGTGATCAAAATTGTGTTCATATTAATACTCATGGTTTTAAGCACTTTATGGCATATTGTTGAAAAAATATTGAAAAGTAGAAAACCTATTTGTGCTAAAAGGAGACTACTCAGGGTGTATGTCTACATTTTGTTTTCCTACTGTAGCCCCATTGTTAGAATCTTGTATGTTGAAGTGGTACCCAGCAGTCAGAAAGAATGCTTCTATGTCCTTTTTGCATTTCAAATATTTGAAAGTGGTAGAAAATTGAACACTACACAGCCCCACAAAATGTTCTTTCAATATTGTGTTAAATATTGAAGACCGTCCATTGTTAAGCTCCCAATGCATTTCCAACTTTACAGTGGAGGGTAATATGTTGAAGCATGAGAGCTCCAAGACCAGACCTCAGTACAACTCAGATTTGCCAACTACTTGCTATGAAACCTGAGCCAAATTACTCAACGTCTCTGAGCCTAAGTTTTCTCAACTGAAGAAAAGCAGAATATGTATTAAAAATTAAATTAATATATTAAAGAATTCAGAGCAGTGTCTGGCCATTACACATTAACAAACGACAAGGAAATTCCATGGTGCAGCAGACCTTATTATGTTCTGCAAAAGATGGTTGACAAATGGCTGCTTCATCTATTAGAAAAATAGTCAACTTTGGGTTTAAAATAACTTGTCAGTGTATGTCCAGTGTATTGATATAGTATTACCCTTCTCCCAATGTAATTCTCCCACAAACTTATCTGGATATTTGCACATGTGCCAGAATAACACGCAAACTGTAAATTCAAGCAAATGTCATTAGACCACCAAGAGAAGCCTACAGTTGGACAACGCCATATCATTTTTAGGACCAAAGGAGTATAATATGAGATACATCACCAGAATCGTTGGCCACTGTCTGAAGACATAGGTACTTCACATGGAATTCCATTAACTTCTTAATTATATTCTTCTCTGTGTTCCTCCTCCCACCACACCTACCACACCTCAAACTCAAATCAACTTGATCCAAATTGAATTGCCAACTCAAACGCTGCACTGAATGCACATCTTACCTCTTGCATCCCCTCTGACCTATCTCTCTTCAGAGAACCTCAGGACCTATAACAGTTGGTGGGTGCCCACGGCTGTCAGATCTTAAAGCCTCTCATAAGAAGCACTACTTTTGACAGTCCCCCTGCTGCAGTCAACCAGCCACAGGGACTCCAGAGAACTCTCCTCATTTCTACTATACCATCCAGGTCTGGCAGGCCCTAGGGGAGAACTGTGAGTAGAGCTAGTATCTACCAGCCTTTTACACCTCCATGTCCCTCATGCACTGATCCCTACCCTTCTTGCTTCCGGCCAGACTCCAGTGGAGGGAGCTGTAGACCTCACTCTGCCAGCCGAGACTTGCCTCCGAGTCATCCTCTCAAGGACCATGGCCGAAACTGCAGAATCTATGGACTTCATGGATCTTTATCTGAGAAAGAAGGAGGAGCTGGAAAAGCCGGAGTGTAGACAATAACGGGAAGCATTTCATAGCTTGTTGCCTGTGGTGTAAGCGCAGGTCTTGTAAACATAGGCAAAAAGCGATGGAAAGGAAGCCGCAGGGGTAGAGAAGGCCCATGGAGCGCAGTGGAATGAGGGGGATCCTGTATATCCTATTTTTTACTCTCCCTGGGAATTACCATCCCACCTAAGTGGATGAGTTTGTTAAAACCCAGCAAAACCTTACCCATCACTCATTAACAATGCTAGTTTTATTAATAAAAGTAGGAATCAATGCTTACATAGTGCTTACTGTGTTTCATGCACAATTCTACACATAAATGAACTCACTTGAGCTCTAGAGTTGTAAACACCATTCCCAATTCACTCATTACAAAATTGAGGCACAGAGGTGTTCTTTAAAATGTAATGCTATCGTTGGGCCAGGGCATATTCAGTGTGACTGGAAGTAGTGGACAGTTAATTTTTTTTCTTCTCTAAGGAATACTGGTAAGATGGAAGGCAGAATAATAGCCCTCAAAAGCTGTCTACATTAATTCTTTGGCACCTGTAAATATGTCACATGGCAACAGGGAATTAAGATTGCAGATAGACTTAATGATGCTAATCAGCTGAAGTTTTTTTTCTTTTTAAAATATTGGTTTTTATTATTAAATACCAAGAATATAAAAAAAAATGTGTGACTGACCATCACTCAGCTTTAATAAACCCAAACCTTTATCACATTTGATACTTTTTAATGAAGTAACACATAGCAGACACAATGGAAGCCTCCCCCTGTGCACACATCGATCCCGTTTTCTTCCTACCTCTCCAGAGGGAAATAAAGCCAGATTTTGTTGTTTATCATTCTCATACATGCTCTTACACTTTTAATATATATCTATACATCTGTCTTTATTTTGCATGTGATAAAACTACCAAATTTTATCACATAGCACATATCATTTGGCCATTTTAACTTATCATTGTTTTTGAGATGTAGTCAAGTTAATACACATACTTTGTATTAATTCATTTTAATAGACAAATACTGCAAATATATCACACTTCATTTGTTTTCTAATGGACATCGCTTCCTGGTTTTCACAATTAAAACCAATACTGCAGTGAACTTTCTGCACGTCTTCTTGAGTACGCGTGCCAAGAATTCCTGTACAATGTGATACCAAGAGACTGGATTAGCATATACGCATTTTCAGGTAAACTAGTTGTTGCCAAACCACTCTCCAAATTATAACTTAAATTTTACTACCACCAGCAAAGAGAGCCCTGAGATGAAGTCAGCTGACTTTAAAGTAGAGTAACCTGGATTATCAGGTGGGCCCAATATAATCTCAAGGGTACTTTAAAAGGGGAGAGGGAGGCAAATGAGGAAGTGAACGTCAGCAAGAGGTGTGAAAATGTTACACTGCTGCCGTTGAAGATGGTGGACAGGAGACCACACGCCACCGAATGCAAGGGCCTCTAGATACTGCAAAAGGTAAGGAAACAGATTTTCTCTAGAGCTTCTAGAAGGAATACAACATATTAGCCCAGGGAGACCCATTGTGAACTTACAACCTGAGGCACTATGAGATAAATTTACATTGTTTTAAGCCACTAAATGAGCAGTAATTTGTTACAGCAGCAACAAGGAACTACTATAGGGAGGTGGGAAAATAGAATATCCCCTTTCAGAGCTGTGGCTACACATCAATGCCTTTTAAAATAGAGTAAAAGTTCTCTCACTTCAACCTTAATGTATTGCAATTGCTTAATCCTCGTTAAAACGCATATGGATTGCTGGACTCCAGTGTACATGTTCTCACCTTGGACCCTAATGTAGAAAAATTGATGGGGGGTGGAGGCAGGGAGAAAGGGGGAGACAGGAGTTATTTCCTAGTTCATTTGTTTTTTATTGATATCACTTTAAGAAGGAAGAAATGAAAAAAATATGTTAGCATCTTGTGATAAGACCTATTTCACTGCAGACAATGATCACAGTAATTTTTTCTAGGGTGATATATTTAATCCTTGCCTTAGTAATTTGGATGTTTGAAATATAACAATGCTTGTTTTCCCTTCTCGAGACACTTAAAACACTCCACGTTTGTCTGTAGGGATAAAAAAATAATAATAAAAGGTGACTGTACATGAGAGGTTGAGAGTACTCCTTTTAAGTTCAATTAGTTATGTTATGTCTGCCCCACATTTTCCTGCACATTCATTTCGCAAGTTCAGCTTGAACGGGAGCAATAGCTGAATCGAGCCGGCTAATGAA